CCGGACAAAAGCGCTTAATCAGATCTAATGCAATCCTCTTGAGTGATCTCCAGTCTTCCTCCGGATCCCCCTTGAGCAGGCGGTCCCAATCCATGGACGATAGTGCATTCCTCATTGAATTAAGATCTGCCTTCCATATATTTGTCTGGTCCTCCATTTTCCGTCTGGGCGCATTCATGTTTAATGGCTTCCCTCCCTCTCATTTATTTAAAACATGGTGAAAATTCATTGAAAAAACTGTGAAATGATACTTCTTAATACTGTTGCATTTTTGAAATAATAAAATTATAATAAACCCCAACATTATAATTGTTCAAAATTTGTATATATTTTTTGGGACACACTGTATTTGTTGGCGCTAGGAAGGCACTATCTATCCAAACGTAGTTTCGCAAAAAATATGACGGTGCTTTCAGATGAAATGTTCAAATTCAAAATATACATATTCACTTTTTTCAGTCGTTTTCCTTAGAAAAGGTTCCGTGTTTTGGTATTTTTTCCTGCCATGTAGGAGTTGATGTGTACGGTCCTGGATGACGTTCTGTAAGTTAGCTGTGGGCTAAAATGTAAGAAAACAAAATGTTAGGCTGCGTGGATGTTGAATTTCACTATAATCATTTGGCAGCAGCGTCCAGAGGTTCTGTTGACCGTTCTGTGGAAGCAGACTCAGATTCATGAAGTTCCGCCCGACCGTCTCCGTTGTAGTGAATACCGATAGCTCTGTGAAAGAATTTGAGATAGATGTGTGATAACGCACATGACGTGGCCTAGGTTATTCCATTTCTCAAATCTATGTGAAGTCTACGTATACTATGCGTAATTTCCTATTGGTCCCTTCTAGAACGCGATGAACACATAATACATTTACTCGAAATCAAATGCAAGGGAGTTGTCTGCCCGCAGGTTTGGTGTTTCTACATATATTATTATTGCCTGCATAATTCAAGAGCCCTTGGTAGTGGATCACAAATACACTTATAACTAAGCTTAGGCCTCCATAGCTGCTCCGTGTCGCAGCGGGCATGATCATTTCTGACCGCAGACAGAGTGAATTCTTTTCCTTTCACTTCACGAAGTCATTTTTCAGATAGAAAACTTTTGCTTACATGATGTTATAACTCCGATTCCGTATTGTACATAAATATTTTTGCCTGCTTCACGAAGGCCCAATCCGATTGAAGCCCTTGTTGGGCAACTAGTAGGGACTACATTGTGTCTTTTCATACATGGGCACTTCTGAGAAATTCACAGTAAGATAATCGGAAATATTACCAAGGGCCGCCGGTGCCTTAATTGACTGATTATTTTGAAGTTTGTTAATTTCCTGTTTTGTTGACTTGTCTGATCTCTATTGTTGGTTGCCGTCCATATTACTTGGTATCTTTACTTATTTCTTTAATTCCATTTGAATATTTAAGGCTTTTACTGCGCTGTAGAACGGCAAACGAAACCGAATAGCGGCTGGTCGTGCTCCACTTTCATGTTGCGTACTTTTTCTACTGTTTTGCCCAAAGCACAAAAGAATGGGTGGCTCAGACGAGTTGGGCAGGGTTTCGGTAAGGTTTAGGACTGTTAATACTTTTATGCACGTTTCTGTTTCAAGAACAAGTTACTGACCCATGTTTGTCGCATGAATTCATGCGGTAATTTTTATAGCGACTGGTTTCTTCCAATTTTCGAGCTCATTGAAAGTTATCAGTTCATCAAGTTTTTGTTCTTTGAGTGTAAATGCATTTGTGTGAAAAGTTGACAGATAAGGTCAACAATTAATCGCATTTTACTACGACCGTATTCAACTTAATTAGCAGATTTTGGTGACTATTTAACTTCCAGCAGAATAACTTTACGCCAGCTTCTCTGAAATTGATTTGGGCTTCGTCATTTTTCGTTTCCTCTGTTTGTATTATTAGTTTTTAACTTCCGTTTAGTCCCCACTGATAAATGACACAACATTGAAAAATAAGAATAGATAGCTGCGAAGGTAGAAGATTGTGGCACTTAACAGCACTTTCAACTCGTATGCCTCAATAGGCTCGTGGTAGGAAGGTGTTTTGCAAACCTCTGGAATATTACATGTCATGCTGCAACTGGAACTTTGTGGCATCGGCATTTACATACTGAGGTTATACGAGGCACGTGCAGGGGACCTTCCGAAGCCACTGATGTCTTGAACTCTTAGCTTTTGCATATGCAGTTACAATTTTGTGACATTGTTGAAATTTCACTCATATTAATTTGGCCATATGTTAAAACCAATTTCCATATGCCTTTATGTCAGCCTGCAATTTTATTGCGTATTCCATTTTAACGTTCCTGATCATAATTTTTTTCAACAAAAGTGGACTATTTTAAACGCCTCGGAAATGACTACATCGCCGTCTTCCGTGATACTGTCGGGGACATCACGAAACGTCCCGGGAGAGCTTGCCTCATCTTTTTGGCTGGCGCTAGCGCCACTGCTATCTATGCTTCCTGTCCCCATGAATCCGCCTTCAATGCTCAACTCCTCAGTTACTCCGTCGATCTATGGGATACCCCAAGCGACCTCCAAAGCCGACCAGCTGTTGCTCACATTGAATCATGCCTCATCCGTCGTTCCCATGGCCAACTTCGACATGCTAACCTTGGTTTTCTGCATGTTGTTTGGCGCGATGATCGCCCTCGGCCTTGTGCACTCTACTCCGAAATCTGTCCATACAACTACCCAGCAGGGGGCTTCACGGGTCCAATTCGTGGTCTCATCAACTGTTTCCTCTATGATCAACCTCGAGACCTCCCGCCCCTCACTGCTTTACAACGGATTTCTCACGTTTTGCATAATCGCATCGTGGATGTGGGGTGCCTTGGGCGATTTTGGTTTTTGGATGCTGCCATGGTTGACTACGACATTAATGCCGAGGAGTGGGCCTACAAATCCCCAGCAGCTGTGCCGGCCTAGTCACTCAGACGTCACCGACAGTGACGATGTCGTATCTTCCCCGTTAAGTAGCCAAAAGGCCGAAATTTTAGGCGATAGTGTCAATTCTCCAGGGAGCTCAGACAGTGTACCAGA